TGAGGGTGGCATCGCAACCTCCCGATCCACCCTGCTCTGTGCATGACGGGGCGGCGCCCCAACTCCCCAATCGGCCCTGCTCTGAGCCTGACCAGGGGCTGCACCTAGGGATTGGGCCTGCCCTCTGCCACCCGGGAGCAGGCCTAAGCCAGCAGGTCGTTATCTCCTGAGGGGTCCCAGACTGCGAGAGGGCACAGGCCGGGCTGGGGGACCCCCCCCCGCCCCCCGAGTGGACAAATTTTTGTGCACTGGGCCTCTAGTACTATTATAAATAGTTAGATTCTAAGGGCAACCCACAAATCTCTTCAACTCATAATAAACTAAACAGAATACTCATGACAAATTATTTAATAAGCACTCAGCAATGTTTCATGGGAAAATACTTTCAAAGTTCCAGTTTAATCCACCAGAAACATCTCTTCCCCAGTAATACAACCTAGACTCAACCTTCCTCATCCACTGAAAATGAGCTCCTCCAGCCATAGAGCTGGAAAGGGCGCTGTTGTAGGGCTTGGAGGAGAAAAGTTACACTCTACCTGCAGGACTTACCTCAGCTAGATGACTACTAAGGGAGCCATTTCTTGCCCATGGACCCCAAGTCCCTCTCCCTAGCACCCTTGAGTCAAGGCTTTCTTTCCTTCTAGCCCCAAGAAGTTCCCTGCACACTCTCCTGGGTGCATGCGTGCACACACACACACACACACACACACATTCTGAAAGCAACATGAAATAGAAAACATGACTTTGAAGTTAGACAAACCTGGAGTTATTTATTTTTTTAATTTAAGTACTAGAGGCCCGATGCACGAAATTCGTGCAAGGGCTCAGCCCCTGCCGCCACAGCGGCTGCCTCTGCCTCGGCCTCTGCTGCTGTGGCTTCATCCGGAAGGTCATCCAGTCTAATTAGCATATTACGCTTTTATTATTATAGACTAGAGACCCGATGCACGAAATTCGTGCAAGAGTAGGCCTTCCTTCCCCCAGCTGCCGGCACCGGCTTCCCTCTGGCACCTGGGACCCGGACTTCCCTCGCAGTGCGAGCTTCCTCTGGAAGGACATCCTTTCTAATTAGCATATTACGCTTTTATTATTGTAGACTAGAGGCCCGGTGCACAAAAATATGTGCACTCAAGGGGGTCCCTCAGCCCGTCCTATGCCCTCTTACAGTCTGGGACCCCTCAGAGGATGCCCACCTGCTGGTTTAGGCCCGCTCCGAAGCTGGCAGTCAGACATCCCTCTGGCAGCCCGGCAGCCCTCGGGGGATGTCCACTTGCCAGCGGGGAGCAGACCTAAGCTACAGTCGGACATCCTTAGTGCTGCTGAGGCGGGAGAGGCTCCCCCCACCACCGCTGTGCTGGCAGCCATCAGCCTGTCTTGTGGCTGAGCAGAGCTCCCCCTGTGGGAGCACACTGACCACCAGAGGGCAGCTCCTGCATTGAGCATCTGCCCCCTGGTGGTCAGTGTGTGTCATAGTGACTAGTCATTCCCAGTCATTCTGCTTTTAGGGTCAATTTGCATATTACCCTTTTATTATATAGGATAGAGGCCTGGAGCACGGGTGGGGGCCGGCTGGTTTGCCCTGAAGGGTGTCCCGGATCAGGGTGGAGGTCCCGCTGGGGTGCCTGACCAGCCTGGGTGAGGGGCTGATGGCTGTTTGCAGGCAGGTCACACCCCCTTCAGGGTGGGGGTCCCCACTGGGGTGCCTAGCCAACCTGGGTGAGGGGCTGATGGGTGTTTGCAGCTGCTCACACGTCCTTCAGGGTGGGGGTCCCCACTGGTGTGCCTGGCCAGCCTGGGTGAGGTGCTTATGGCTGTTTGCAGACTGGCCAAGCCCCCCCAGTGGGGACCCTCACCCCATGGAGGTTTGGCCAGCCTGGGTGAGGGGCTGATGGCTGTTTGCAGGCTGGTCACACCCCCTTCAGGGTGGGGGTCCCCACTGGGGTGCCT